ACACGCAGTGTTCGTAGACAGTGCATGTAAGTCGCCCACCCTCTTACCACATGCCAAAGCGAGCAAGAGCGCTGTCTTGAACGAGAGCACTTTCAAGTTTGCCGAAAGCAGCGGCTCAAAGGGTGGCTCGGAAAGTGCACTAAACACTAAGGACAGATCCCAAACCGGTACCATATTAGAGCGAAAGGGGCGCAACCTCCACGCTCCTCTTAAGAAGCTCGTCACCAGATGATGCCCACCGACCGAACGATCACCGATAGGCAAATGGAAAACTGAAATAGCAGCCTCATACACTTTTAGAGTAGATGGCGTGCGTCCAGCATCCAAACAGTCCTGCAGAAACGATAGAATGACAGACACATCACAGCTGGCTGGGTCCTCATCTTTCGTCATACACCATGTAGTGAAAACTTTCCATTTCAGACTGTACAGACATCTGGTAGATGGAGCTCTGGCTTCAGCAATTGTATCCAAGACTCGCTGAGATACGTTTAGCGTCTGCTCTCCGCGCTGACCTGCCAAACATGGAGGTTCCATAGCCCCAGCCTGGGGTGCCACACCGAGCCCTTTGCCTGAGATAAGAGATCTCTCCGTAACGGAATCAGCCATGGGGGAGCCGTTAGAAGCTCTACCAACGCCGGGAACCACGGCTGGTTTGGCCAATTCAGCGCGAACAGAAGCACCATCCCCCTTTCCTCTCTGATTTTCTGCAGCACTAGCGGCATAATCTTCACTGGGGGAAAAGCATATTTGCGCTTCTTGGGCCAGCGACTCGAAAGAGCATCCCCCTCCAGAGGCGCGTTCGTCAGCGAGAAGAACAGCTGGCAATGCGCGTTCTCCTCTGAGGCAAACAAGTCGATCTCCACCTCTCCGAACAGGCTCCAAATCAGCTGAATGGTCTGCGGGTGCAGCCTTCATTCCCCGAGAACTGGACCACCACTGGACAGCATGTCCGCGCCGCAGTTCTGACTGCCGGGAACATGAACTGCTTGAATCGACAGAAAATTTCTGTCCGCCCAAAGGAGGAAACGTTCCGCCAGCCTTTGAAGTGAGTGTCAACGAATACCTCCCTGATGGTTGATATAGGATACCACCATCGTGTTGTCTGTCCGAACCAGGACGTGTTGATCCTTTATCAGTGGAAGAAAGCCTTGCAAAGCTAAAAATACTGCCTTCAGCTCCAGACAGTTTATATGCCACTTCGCTTGCGCACTCGTCCAAGTGCCATAAGCCGGTCTGCCGTCGCAAAGGGCTTCCCAGCCCGTCAATGATGCATCCGTTGTGACAATTTTTCTGCTGACCACCCTGCCCATCGAGACTCCCTGCTCGAACATCCTCGTGTTGAGCCAGGGGGCTAGCATCTGCGAGTCACCAAGACCCGCAACTGACCGTTCTTCCACGTGTTGCTTGGCATCCGGGATTTCAGCCATAGCTGAAGTGGTCTCATATGCAGAAGCCCGAGTTGACACACCACAGCTGCTGCTGCCATACGCCCTAACAGTCTCTGAAAGCATTTCAGAATCACCACTCTCCCCGGTTTGAACGAGGTGAGAGCGCTGATCAAAGCCTGCATTCGCTCTTGAGAGAGACGTGCTCTCATCGATAGCGAGTCCAAATCCATTCCTAGGAATGTGATAGTCTGCGTGGGGCGAAGCTTGCTCTTCTGCACATTGATCGTCAGTCCTAGATGCCTCAGATGTTCTAAAAGCTGACATTTGTGGTTTTCCAGTGTATCCCGCGACTGGGCTATAACAAGTCAGTCGTCCAGATAATTCAGGATGCGAATTCCACTCTGCCTGAGAGGGGAAAGCGCTGCATTGATACTAGGGATGCACCGATACCGATACTGGTATCGGGCCCGATACTGAGCTCCTGTACTCGTACTCGTAAAAATGCCCCGATACCAAATGCCGATACCGCACATCATGTGATAAGTGCCATATTCAGACAAAAAAACATCGAAAACAGACAGCAGAATGGAGTTATTAGAGATTAAAGATGTCTACGAAGTATATGTATGCAATGAATATAAAACATTCAGTATTAATGCCTGTATAGCTGATTTGCGCCAGCTGGTAAGCAAATCACGCTGAGTGGATTGAGCGAGCGGCAGCGCAGATGCGCGAGCTTGTCGAGTGAATATACCTTTCTCACAGACATCACTGGAAAGTTTGTAGTTCGGTCAGATATGTCAAAAACAAGTAAGTAAAACAATGCACAAGTTACTTAATGGTAGGGAGGGATAAATGAAGTTAACCAACTAACATTATACATACTCTTTTGGTTTCTGTACCCAATATTTTAAAAATTTACAAATGCAATGAAAATATTGGTATCGGTACTCAGTATCGGCAAGTACCAAAAATAAAAGTATCGGTATCGGGCGAGTACTGGAAAAAGTGGTATCGGTGCATCCCTAATTGATACACTTCGTAAAAGTCCTCGGGGCCAACGCCAAGCCGAACGGGAGAACTTTGAATTGATAAGCTCTGTCCTCGAACGCGAATCTTAGAAAGCGCCTGTGACAAGGGGATATTTGGATGTGCAAATAGGCATCTTTTAAGTCCACCGAGATAAACCAGTCCCCGTGCTGAATGTGCACGAGGATCTGTTTTACTGTTATCATCTTGAACGAGCACTTTACAAGTGCGCGGTTCACCGGTCTCAAATCCAGAATAGGGCGAAGACCCCCTTCCTTTTTGGGGACCAGGAAGTAGCGACACTCCTGGAAGCATGCGCCACACATCCAAATAGTGAGAAAGGGGTTGGAGCGCCTCTTGACGCGTCTGTGACGGCCCGTCGTCTGATGACGGGGAGACACCCACCACCTGAGGGGCATCGTAGATGTCTTCTGCACCGGCTGGACCACCGGCATGAGCCGGGGGGACACTTATGCATAGACTGAGAGAGCGCACGTGGCCTGCGCCCTGCAGAGCGCCATTCAAAAACGGGACTCTGCTTATAACGCGCGATTGGGAACAACTGTGAGGGGAAAAAAGAGCTCTTTTGCTGAACAGTGTTTGCTTTGTGCTTTTTTGTGCAAACTTTATTGACAACAAACATTTCCCTCTGTCGCCTGCAACATGCGAGGGGACAGGCAGGGGAAACACAGCAAGACGAACTGTCTTGCGAAGCGGCTCCTCGTCCGTCTTTCTCGGGGCGGCCACTTCCCCCTCAGACCACCCCAGTCAGGAACGCTGCTGTGGATCTGGCACAGCACCAGAAGGACGGGGTCCCATCTTCTTCGGGTACCGGAACGGCCTCGCTTTCGGTCTCACGGCTGGCTCCGGGTCCACCCTCGCTCTCAAGGAAGGAGCAGGCGGCGGTCTTTCGTTCCTTTTTGAATGCTGCGAAGAAGAGGATCTGGAACGTGGCAGAGGTGCAGCGGACCGATCTCTCTTCGGCAGGAAATGACTCATCACCTTTGACTATTTCTGGGCCTCCAGAAACTTCTCAGAAAACAAGCCCACAGCATCACCAAACAGGCCGAGCGGGGACATGGGCACGTCCAACAGCCGAGCCTTCTCCGACTCTCTCATGTCAGTCAACGTCAGCCAAAGATGCCGCTGAAGTGTGACGAGACTGCCCATACAGCGGCCGATTCCCTGGGCCGTCTTCTTCGTGGCTCTGAGCGGCAAGTCAGTGGCCGAATGCAGCTTTTTGAAGGCGGCAGAGTCCGGCCCCTCCTCATCCAATGTTTGCAGTATTTTGGCTTGGAAAGCCTGGAGAACGGCCATAGTGTGGATCGCGGACGCTGCTTGGCCTGCTGCCAAATAAGCCTTATCCGCGATGTGGCTCGTGGTGAGGCACAGCTTTGATGGAAGCGATGGCGCAGATTTCCACCCACGTGCGGACGGACAAAGATGTGCTGCAACTGCTTCTTCGACGGGTGGCAGCTTAGTATAACCCCAGCGGTCGGCTCCGTCCACAGAGAAGAGCATACGTGATCCCGCGGCTTGGGCTCGGGCCGAATAGGGGGAGCGCCAAGACCGCGAGACCTCCTCGTGGACCTCAGGGAAAAAGGGAGCGGGTCTCTGGGGGGTGGCAACCTGGCGGCCCGACTGCAAATACCGCATGTCCAACCTGTTCTTGGCTGGTTGCTCGGGGGGCGACCAATCAAGACCCAAATCCTGTACAGCCTCCGACAGGATCTTCACCAGCTCTTCGTCAATTGGGGCCGGGGGCTCGTGCACCTCACTGTGGGAAGCCTCCGACTCCTGTCAGGCGGACCAGTCACCTGAACCAGAGGCTGCAGTCGACATAGCGTCGTCTTCGACGTCCACTTCATCTTCTGCAGCACAAAAAGAGACCAGGTCCCGCGCATCGTCCGAGGGGTGGTGGCTGGACCTCGTGTAGGAAACAGGTGGCTCTCTTGAGTGATGAGCATGCAGAAACTGAGTCGACATGCGTTCATCAGAGGGGACTACTGCACGTGGCTGCCTCAGCCTTTCCTCCCGCGGCTTGACGGCGACGGGGGGCGGAGGCAATGGATTAGCCGGTGCGCAGTTTTTGGATCACGGAAATCCTGGCCCGGAGGGTTTTGACTGTCATTTGCTCACAGGAAGGACAGTCAGGCCCATCCAGCGCGGCCTCTGCGTGGGCTCGGCCCAGACAGAAGACATATGCGTCGTGTGCATCAGGGAGCTCAATTGGGCCCCCGCATGCACAGCACTCCTTAAGTGACATCTCGTCTTCTTGCCAGATCGCCAAAGGGGAACTAAAAGCGAAGAGTTAACGGCGGTGAGAAGTCTTCAATGCTTGCTTCGTGAAGGAGAAAGATTCTGAGGCAATGACGCTGGACATTGACCTATATAGTGGGTGGCTCCGCCCCTAGCTCAAGCGTCATTGGCCGGTAAGATTTACCGGCGTGATGCAATAAGGCTTCAGTATTTTAGGAGGAGGGGGATAACCCCAAGCGTAAGCTACGCAGTGTCGAGAGACCGAACTTGATGGGGAACACAAGACTGCTGGATTTAACAAACACACAAACAGAGGTCTACCTTCCCTGCTCGGCGAGCAGCATTCCTTCATCCTTTAGTCTCGTGCTCTTAGCAGCACAATCCTCCAGCAGCACCTCTCGTCGCCGTTTGATGACATGCAGCCAATCAACTCTTTCCTTCCCCACATCCTCGTCATCCACCTGCTCTGAGTCCTTCTCAAACTGCTGCACTGTCGTCTTGGAAACTCTCTCCCCCACCTTACGTTTCCAGCCAAAAGAGGCCATCCTGAAAAAACTAAAAAATCCAAAAGAGGGAACAGCTACTGTAAGACTAACAATTGTGAATACTACATTAAAATGTAACAATTAACAGGACAGCCACACACTTTCAAGAAAAATTTTAACAATACAAATAAGCACGGCCAAGAGTGATTCAGAGGGTAGATCTGTTATTTGAAAATTCATACAACTCATTAACAAGTACACCACATTTACATAAAATGTAAAAACATTGTCTGTGTATATCCTTTAACAGTAAGTTTTCAGTACAAGACGTGAGAAGGACATTGAAAAACTATTCTGAGGCCAAACTTTGAAGGTATTGGTATTTTCTACAATGCATGTATTGTATACAATGTATTCTAAAAGTTTTAGACCTATTTGTTTGTTAGACCATTAACGTTACACGATCGCCATTCAAATACTGCTCTATATTTATTTAATACTACACTACGTTTTTCCATGCAAAAGCACTGACAAAATAATTCATCTTTGATTATTAAATTTGCATTACACTATATTGTATCACTATATTTGCCACTGGAATCAAAGAAGACAAAAGTGTAGAACAGACTGTTGAGATGTTATTTATATATTCAAACAGTCATCTCTATACATTTATTCTTATGTGGTTTGACTGACCGGGGTAACTGTCCCAGAAGAAGAAGGGAAAAAAAGCTTAACGTTAGTTGAATTGTAAATTTCTTGGTTCAGTCATCTCATATTGAACCTGTAACTGCAAGAAAGGTCAAGTGCGCTTGTAGAACAGCCAACTTGAGGTCAATAACAGGCTGAGGCTGATGAAGTCCTGAAGTAGCATATGGCTGTTTTACAGTCCAATGCGATTTACTGCACAGGTCACATTCACATTGTGTGAAATAATATGAACTGAAGGCGGAAACGTTAATTAATAATGCAATTTTTGCACTGGCATTTTCTAAATAATCTTTATGTTTGCGCGTGCGGCTGAACACGTAAATTAAAACTGAAAAAAACAAACCTGATTTATAAATAGAAATACCCCAGCATCAATGACAGATCGCGTTTTCATCTATTACTCACAGATGTTTTGGACTTATCCACTCAGCCCTCTAACCCGGAAGTACTGTAAACCTCTCTTAAAGGTACAGGGCCAGTGAGACGTTCAGCGTTCAACGAGACTCTCTCTGAATCTGGGAATCCTGTTTTGTTTTGTTTTTAATGGACAAAAATGGCAATGAAAAGCTAATTGTGCTGTATGCAGTGACAAAACAGGGGCATTTATTTTGTAAATAAACAAAAAGAAAGAAAGAAAGATTCTCCTGCTTATGATTATTTATAGTAGGCCTAAACATATTTTAATCATTTTTAATTATCATCATCGTCGTCATCAATATTAAGTGCATTGTTGTACGGTATTACCATCATTTTAGCCCTGTGTTCAAACTGACATATGTAACTGTGGAAACCAGCAAAGATCAGCGTTGAAACATGAAACCTGAATAGTTATTTAGTGCATGTTTGTTACAATATTGCGTAAGAATCCCACTGCCCCATTCTTTTGTGGGCAATTAACCTTCAGAACAGAATATAGTCCTTTGGACACCCCGTGCACATGAACTGTTTCTGCTGACAGTTCTGCAATGCTGATCAATCATTAGTCACTACAACTATCATATGTGGATCTTCAGGTAAACAGATGAATGAATGAATGTTGCAATTCTGTAAAATAGAAGCTATAGTCAGTGATTTTATCATCCATTAATTGTATTACTTTTTTGTAAGCACAGATCTTAAAACTGAGACCTAGATACAATTTGTTGCATAAAGTAGATTTACATTGCAAAATGTCAATCAATCCATCCCAAATCAAATAAGCCAAACTGATACAATCAGCTCCATTGTTTTGAAGCGACTGTTCCCCTATACTCAGGGTAAAATCTGTGATAAACTTTATGGACTTCGGCCAGGCCCTCACCTGCATTCACTACATGTGCAAAAAGCCACACCTCCCTTCTAACTCTTTCTGCAATTGGCTAAACTACTATCACTCCCCCTTTAAACCCAGTCATATATCTACACTTAGTTCTAATACATCCTTTCTGACAGGAATCCAAGCAGGAACTCCAAGGAGGTTTCACGCTTTAGCAGTCAGTCATCATGTCAGACAGAGGTGCATTTGATACCAACGTGGTGACCCTCACCAGGTTTGTCTTGGAAGAGGGCAGAAAAGCCAAAGGAACAGGGGAGCTTACAACCCTTCTCAACTCCATGTGCACGGCCATCAAAGCCATTTCCACTGCTGTCAGAAAAGCCGGCATTGCCAATCTGTGAGTATCTGCCAATGCATCTATACCACCAGACAAGTATTCAGGCTTTCAAAGAAATTGCGGCCATTTTAAACAACAAGTTTTCAACTATATACAGTACTTTTAATTTTAATATTACGGTTTTCAGACCGTTTTTGTCATCTTTGCATCTTATAGTACAAAAAAAGTGAGGAGACTTTTCTCTATATATTGGTATTCAATGTGCAGCCACTATCACCTCCCAGACTATACAATGTGCTTTAGTGTCCTATTGATTAGAACCTTTTCAATAGTTTAAACTTAAATTTCCACCTGTGCAAAAAGCTTTTTCTGATGCATCGTTTTTGCACATTTGAATATATATTTACTGTATATCAGTGTACTGTTGCAGTGGCTGGTCATTTCAGCTACTTTGCAAACAAACACTGCAGACTGAGTCAATGATTAGACCTCATCTCTTGCTGAAATAGAGGACAAAGGTCGAAGTTATCGGCTCTGTGAGGAAAGCATAAAGACTACATAATTCTTCATGAATCAATCTCTGTTAAAAATCTCTTTTTCATTTTATCAGCTATGGAATTGCCGGGAGCACAAATGTTACAGGTGACCAGGTGAAAAAGTTGGATGTCCTGTCCAATGATCTTGTTATAAACATGATTAAATCCTCCTTCACATCCTGTGTTCTGGTGTCTGAAGAAAATGAACAAGCCATCATTGTAGAACCAGAGAACAGGGTAAGTGTGTGCATCAGTGTTTTTGTTGTTGTTGTTGTGTAATCTGAAAACCCTTGATTAATTAAAGTAAAAGTAAAATGTCAAAGTAAACCCTTCAAACACTTTAATAACTTGGCCAATTTTTAAAAACTGAACAATTTTGTGTTCATATAATTTTAGTACATTTTTAATAAATGAAAATGATCTGACTTGTTTGTTTTGGTCTGTAAAATAATTTTCTCTTGTTGCGTTATTAAATCTGTATGTATTAACTAACAACTTTGATGTATTTGTGTATAGGCCAATAAACTACCTGACTTTTTATTTATTTATTTATTTATTTTGCCCAGGGCAAATACGTGGTTTGCTTTGACCCTCTGGATGGCTCTTCAAACATTGACTGCTTAGCTTCTATTGGAACCATTTTTGCAATCTACAGAAAGGTACAGTACAGGCTTTCAGATCCAAATGCAGTACAAACAAATATCCCTTTATAGTCATCTAAGAACGAATGAAATGCTTTTGTTCGTTTGTGTGCACATGATCTCCAGGAGACTGACGAGGAACCATCAGAGAAGGATGCCTTGCGGAGTGGCAGAAACATTGTGGCAGCAGGGTATGCTCTTTATGGCAGTGCTACCATGCTGGTTCTCTCCACAGGCCAAGGAGTCAACTGCTTCATGCTTGATCCTGTAAGTCAGAATTATGTTACATGCTTAATATTCTATTTAACTTTAAATAGTTGCATTACTTCTTAATCTTTCTGCATCCTTTCTTCCTCCATCATTAGGCCATCGGCGAGTTTATACTTGTAGACCGGGATGTGAAGATTAAGAAGAAGGGGAAGATCTACAGTCTGAATGAAGGCTATGCAGCACATTTTTACCCAGATGTCACAGAATATCTGCAAAAGAAGAAATTCCCAGAGGTATGAGCCTCCAGATTTTGAATATATTTCACTGAAGGGTTCGTGCTAGAGAAACATCCTACTATTATCTATTTAGCAACCAATACGGTTACTATCATGGTAGAGTCAGATCTTAATTTAAACTTTAAGATATTCCATTGTTCAAAGTTTGGGGTTATTTATTTATTTATTTTATTTTTTTTATGTTTTTGAAAGAAGTATTTCATGCCAACCAAGGCTGCATTTATTTGGTCCAAAATACAATAGAAGCAGTAATATTGTGAAATATTATTACAATTAAAAATAGTGAAATATTATTACAACATAAAAATAGCTGTTTCTATTTTAATATATTTTAAAATGTAAATTATTCCTGTGATAGCAAAGCTGAGTTTTAAGCAGCCATTACTTTGGTCTTCAGTGTCACATGATCCTACAGAAATCATTGTTAATATGCTGATTTGCTGCTCAAGAAACATTTTTATTATTATCAAATTCTGAAAACAGTTGTGCTGCTTAATATTTCTGTGTATTCTGTGATACATAATCCCCCAAGTTAGTTTTTGTAATACTATTTCTTGGGGGAGTACTACTAGTACTCAGATAAAGATAAATGTAAAAACATTTTTACTTTCAGTCAAGTATGTTAGATATTTTGACATAATGAAATAATTTCTCAGTACCATTTTCTCTTCCAAATGTGCAGTAGGACATTATATAGAAAATCTGTAAAATTCAGCTCAGTGAATAGCTTTAGCCAACATAATTAGCCTCTTCCACTGACAGTAAAGATAACATTTCCACTCTGACATGCAGGATGGAAGTTCACCCTATGGAGGGCGCTATGTGGGCTCCATGGTAGCTGATGTGCACAGGACTCTGGTCTATGGTGGAATTTTCCTGTATCCTGCTAATATCAAGAGCCCCAAGGGCAAGGTGAGAAGAAACAGGGTTTAAAAGTGAATGCATTGCAATGATAACAACATCATAAGCTGTTTGAGTTTTAAAAATATTAATTTTAAAGTGTATTTAAGGCAACAATCTCACTGGTTTCATGTTTTTTTTTCTGGGCTCCAGCTGAGGCTGTTGTATGAGTGCAACCCCATGGCCTTCATCATGGAGCAGGCCGGCGGTATGGCAACAACAGGAGCCATGTATGTTCTAGACATCAAACCCGACTCAATCCACCAGAGGGTTCCTGTAGTGCTGGGTTCCCCTGATGATGTACAGGAGTATATCTCCATCTTTAAAAAACACTCAAAATGAGTTGCAACCAGATGAGCATCTTTTGCTATCTACTACAACCACCACCATCCCACTGAACCTCAAAAACAAATTAGCGAAAAGGGCAAGGACAAGAACAGAAGCATCCGTTATCTATATAGGAAGTTTCCATTTTAAGTTTGATTTTCACAAATGTTTGTTCTGTTAAATTTTCTTGTACACTTATGTGCCCTAGTTATGTAATTCATAATATAAAGAGATTATAAATATATAATCCAATGTCATACATTTTACAGTGTCTAATATTAAGCCCCATAAACACTTCTGTTCACATTGAAAATAAAACCAGTATTGTTTGATTGTGTCCATGTCATTTTTTTTTTCATTTTATTATTTGATGATCAGAAATTGTTGGAAAACATGGGTATGGCATGGTAACCAACTACAGATGCAAGTCTGCTTCCCACCAAGATGTTTCCTGGACCAGCAGCACTTAAAAGGGAAAATAAAAAAAAATTATGTTGTTGCCTAAGGCCTGTTGTAGCCCTCTTTGGTGGCTTCATAGTACTGTAATTAGCTTGCAAGTATAATGTGCATGTTAGTTTCCAAAATGCATGTAAAAGCTTTAACAATACAGGCAAATCAGTGTTGTTTTTTAACTAAAATTAAACTATTAAATATCATTTTCAAATAAATAAAATATTTAAAAAATTTAATAAATAAATATAAAATATAAATATTATATGAAACAATAAATGTAAAAATTTAAATAATAAAAACATTTAAGCTGAAATACTAAAATGTATAAAACTAAAGTTGAAATAAAAATGACTGAACCTAAAATGAAAATGAAAACGGAAGCTTTTATGAGGAAAATCTAATGCAAAATAGCTATAATAATACTACAAAAGTATATAATTAATAATAAAAACAATGAGGCAAATAGATCAGGCTATTAACACTGACATCTGTCTTCATCATCACTCCCCTCAGCCCCAATCCTGCTTTTATAGGAAGATATTTGTCCCCATCTAATGGTGTGATGCTCGAACAACAGCGGAAGAGTGGGTTAAACTGTGGTGACGTCAGACGCAAAGGAGCGTCGCTGCATTTTCCTCATCGATCGCAGGTGTCTCTACCGGCCGTCACGAAGGAGTTACAGTAACCTACTTAGGTAACAGCTCTTTTACTTCGCATTCATCCACAAAGTAATTCTCCGTGTTGTAATCTCGCGTTGACGGGCTCTCTAATGTATTTCGTCTGTATACACATCTTTTAAAGCTAGCTAGTCATGTTTTCTGTTGGTTAGATTGCATCTTGGCGCCAGGAGAATGTTTGTAATTTTGACACCACAGTAACTAATTAGTAGAACTGTATCGATTAGTTTGTGTGAGGCGAAGAGGAAACCCAAAGCCGGCGGAAACTTCTGGACACTTAAGTCATGCATTTAACTAGCAATGGTGGCTCAATTCAGAGTTCCTGTTTCTTATTCTGTCTCTAAAACCCGGGCTTTGCACCCTGTAGTGCTGGCTAACTAAACTGAGGTTTCGTTTGTGATGGTTTCAATTCAGTAACATGGACATTTGCATGCAGGTCTTTGTGCTTGGTTTTCTCAATTCTCTTAGCAACAAAGTCACATCAATGTCAGTGTTCCACATGCTCTCTCAGTCTGTCATGAACTCTAATGACTGTTAGCTGTTAGCCATAACATATGTACGCACGCAACACTTAAAAAATATTCGTTTATTGATAGGTTATAGATTATTGAGCAGGCTGGAAAATCAGCTAAGACCAGCAAACCACTTTAGATTGTTTTGATCAGTTCAGCAGGCTACAATAAAACATTACATGTATTAAGAATTTGTAATAATTACTATTAAGTTGTTTTAGGATATGTTTTTATCTTTTTGTTGGATTATGTCTATTGTCTAACTGCTAAGATTAGAACACAACATGTTTCCCACTTGAAGACGAATGCCTGTTATGTAATTGGGAAATAAGCTAACAACAATAAATCAGTAACTTAATAGGTTAACATATTTCTTTTATGTTCAGAATGACTTTGGGTGCAGTTGCCTCCGTGATCCTTGCCATAGGAGGAGCTGCAGTGTTTTCTGCTCTTCATAAGATTGAAGAAGGACATGTGGGTGTCTACTACAGGTAAGTTGCTCAAGATTTTCCATTAATCTTCTTCCAGAACCAAGCAGATGCTGCAGTGCATGCCACTTTCTACTTTGTACTGTAGATTGTATAACTGTGTGTGCTTCTCTCCTCTCAGAGGTGGAGCTCTGCTGACCACCACCAGTGGCCCTGGATTTCATTTGATGCTGCCGTTCATTACTTCATTCAAGTCTGTACAGGTAAAAGACAGACGTTATATGTATAGTTTAACTTGATAGGTTTCTTTTTCTTATTGCATCCTCTCTCTTTTCGTAAAGTCAACCCTACAAACAGATGAAGTAAAGAATGTTCCATGCGGCACAAGGTGAAGTAAATTTTGAACATTCATCAGATCTTCTGTAAGGTGCAGTCACCATAGACTTTGTGTTTCTATTCATATGCATGCAAAATGAGAGTGAGAGCAGCATTACAGTAGGCATGTGGTTTCCCCTATTACTGGATACCAAATTCAATTTTGGTAAACTCTTACCTGCAATTCTGTATAGCCAACATCATATATAAGTCATTTTGCAGTGTTTAAAGCCTGTAAACACAGCAGGTCATCAGTTCAGGAGAATCCTTGACTGAAGGTTGAAACTTTGTGCATCATTTTTGAGCATTTTTGAACATAATTTGTGAGCAGACACTTGGAGTTTGATCTAGAATTGATCTAATATAGTGTTTAGGTTAAGACATTTAAATCTGACTCAGAACATTTCACAATTCTGTTCCCTCCTCCTTTACTTATCATTTCCTCTCATCTTCTCTGTTCTTTTCTATAACAATAACACTGGCAAAAGTCCAGAAAAACTGGTTACAAATAAATCCCAAGGATTTTTCAGATTGTTGCTGTAAATATTTAAGAATAATGTAATGAATATTTTTGACGATTATGTGTTCTTCATGTGGGTAAATGTTATCATATGTTTATATACTGTACACTGCTGAACTCAAAAGTTTGGGTTCAGTAAGATTTTTGATGTTTTCGGAAAAAAGTCCCTCACCATGTCTGTATTTATTTGATCAAAAATACAGTACAAATAGTAATATTGTGAAATATTATTGCAATTTAAAATAACAGTTTTTGTTGCTCAGGAATCATTTCTTCTTATCACAGCTGAAAATAGTGTGGAAACTACGATACATTTATACATTCTGTTCATAAAACAGTTTGTCAGTTGCTGTTTTTAGGGAGACCCTGTTTCACACTCATTCATATATATATATATATCAACATGTTTTTTTGCTTTGCAGTGGAGGTGTAATGATCTACTTTGATCGCATTGAGGTGGTGAACTATCTTGCTCCTTCAGCAGGTAAAATGACTTTTTTGCCATTTATAACGTAGAACCACTAAAAAGGCTGTTGTTAGGGGTGGACAGCTGGGAACATTTCCCTGGGCCCTGTAATTTTGGAGGGCCCACTAAGAGCCTCTTTGGCATAGCCTACTCGCCAATAAATGTTTTATCCCACTCCCCATGAATTTAAGCAACGAGCCAGACTATGACTGTCATTTATTTTATGTGCCCTATTCATCGCTCTCATAACATCATTGTCTGCTCTGCTGCAGTTTATGGCATTGTGAGAAACTTCACTGCCGACTACGACAAAGCTCTGATTTTCAACAAGGTTCACCATGAGCTGAATCAGTTCTGTAGTGTGCACTCACTTCAGGAGGTCTACATTGGTCTATTCGGTAAGTGATGTGCTTTAATGTCCTAATCAGGGATTGTTGACATGTTGGGTGATTTGATGCCAGTAAGTTCGGTAAGATTTTGCTGCTTTAAAATCTAAATGTCAATGCAACTGCTTTGCATAGACTCCCATTTGAAGTGCATTTCTGTGAATGCAGTTTTTTGTTTTATTTAAATAATTTTATGTATATTTTTCCCTGCTAAAATGTGAAGACACTGAATGTGCAATATATAATTTACTAGGAAGGTTTGGGAATCAGAAAATGACTCCTTCAATTACAGTAACTCCTTACAGTAATTGATTTGAATTGGTAAAAAATATATTTGGAGAATTTTTCTTATGAGTGAGAACATAATAGCATTAGATTTCATCCATGAATGCACTTCACAATGGTGTGAGGGTAGTTAATAGTAATGGTGTTACAGCCCTCTAGTGGTAATGTGGAGATGTTTGACATGTTGTTAGTGCCATAAGCTTCTCAAGTGATTTTTATTTGCAGTTGTTGTGTGTGATGAGAAAACAAAAAGTTAAGGGTATAAATTCTGTGTACACCTGTCATTCTTTAAGTAGCCTGTTGTTTCTTAGATCAAATAGACGAGAATCTAAAGCTCACACTGCAGCAGGATCTCACCAGCATGGCACCTGGACTCATCATTCAGGTGGGATTCAACTTAGATTGGTTTGGCAGTTCAATCTTTTTTCTGTTACATTCCACTGAGTTACGTTCTTGTCGGCATTCCATTTTCTGCACCGGTTATACGTTAACAATTCATTTGAATTCAGGAAAGATAAACATGGGCTTTCGTAACTCATTACCAAAACATTCAAGACTTTATTGTTTTGACATTTTGTTAGACCTAAGATAAGATACTGCATATAAGCTCTTTGTGTATTTGTTCATGTGTTTATCTTTCTTTATTTAGCTTTGGTTTGGCAAGATTCAGATTTCCTTCATCGAATCCCTTTGGTGCTGGACCACGTTTTTCACAGACTCGAGCAAAGACCCTTAAAAACAGCAATTATGATAATCAGCTGTGCAAGCAGTAGATTTCCATTGTTATTGTTTCTCATCTGGTAGCACTAAAAATATGCTAGTCATCAGCTCATTGAGATGATACTGAGATCGTCAGTAAGCTGATTCACAATTCCTTGTATTCCTTCCTGAATTCTCTAATGGAGCTTTTGTGGGTAATGTGTCATTCACATGATGCACATTGAGCTGTGATTCACAATGAGGAGTATTTGACCATATCCACTAATTTTCCTGAGATCAATGTTGGTTTTGTGTATTCATGCTTCCTGCTGTTTTCCAAGGCCCTTCCAGCTAAAAAAATAAAATAAAAAATAAAATTGTTGCATAACAGAGTCTCTTTGTAAGGACCGTGTTCTGCCAAATATCTAATTAAATTTTGTTTATTAACAAAAGTGATGTCTGACTGTCTTCAACTTTTTTCTCTTACTCTCTCCTCTCTTTGCTTTCTCTATCTTCTGTTCCTCTCCCTCCTAAGCAGGCGGTCCGTGTCACCAAACCAAACATTCCAGAAAGCATTCGCAGGAACTATGAACTAATGTGAGTTTATGAGAACTTCTTGCATGTTGTGTGTAATAGCTGTTAATGATCTGTAAAAAATAAAATTGTTGCATAACAGAGTCTCTTTGTAAGGACTGTGTTCTGCCAAATATCTAATTAAATTTTGTTTATTAACAAAAGTGATGTCTGACTGTCTTCAACTTTTTTCTCTTACTCTCTCCTCTCTTTGCTTTCTCTATCTTCTGTTCCTCTCCCTCCTAAGCAGGCGGTCCGTGTCACCAAACCAAACATTCCAGAAAGCATTCGCAGGAACTATGAACTAATGTGAGTTTATGAGAACTTCTTGCATGTTGTGTGTAATAGCTGTTAATGATCTGATTGTGTTACAAGGGCCCGAAATTAACACCACCAAACAGTCAATGTACAGGTAATAAATGTTTCTTACTGGCCTTTATTTATATATTTTGTCTCTATTACAAATGAATCACATTTTTTCAAATATAATTATTAATCTACCTACAGAAGAATAAATTACTCCCAGTATCATACACAAAAAACGAGCCATTCTCTGTTGAACGTGGTTTTGTTCCTTAATTTAGTTTTGGTGATTAAGTTTGAGGAATATTGCACATATGTCCAAATAATTGGATAACAATGCCTAACAATGAGGGTAAATTCGGTTAACTTAATAGAAAACATTCTCATTAGTGAGACTAAATGTATTATGTTGCAGTTCCTAATAAAGTTACCAGCCAACTGGCAAGTAGCATTGTTCTCACATATGGTGCATGGTGAGTCTTAATTTTGGACCCTGGTTACAGCTTAACTTGTTGTTCTACGGTATATCTGAACTGCAAAAATGTATTTTGATCTTATATAAGAAATTTCTGTCAATCCTTATCAGCTGTGTGTGCATGTGTGTCTCTCTCTTAGGGAGAGTGAGAGAACGAAGTTACTGATTGCGGCTCAGACTCAGAAGGTGGTAGAGAAGGAGGCAGAGACAGAGAGGAAAAAGGCTGTCATCGGTGAATGTTTTTCCTAGTTTTCAGCCTGATGAGCTGAGTGGGTTTGGTCATATGGGTTGGATTTAGATGAAGTTGTAGTTCATATAAAAGTGAAAGAATGTTGCTCTGTTTTTTTATGTGTGCAGAGGCAGAGAAGGTGGCTCAGGTGGCTGAAATCAAATTTGGACAGAAAGTTATGGAAAAAGAAATAGAGAAAAAGATCTCAGAAATTGAAGGTAGGTGAATGTGTTGTCATGTTCCCTCCGAGGTCTTAGACTGCAATGTAGGACAATGAAAACATCCCTGATTAAACATATGGGGCATTTGGGCCCTGATCGTATCAAAATGTAAAATTAACGTCAAAATTAACTGTCAGTGTTCGGAAGAAATTACCTCATAGCATTACAGTATATACCTGGTTCATTAATAAAATATAACATCATACAAAAGAAAAACATATACACTGCCATTCAAAAGTTTGGGGCCAGTATATTTTTTAAAGAAATAAATACTGTTTTTTAGCAATTAAATTGATTATTATGTATTACATTGATCAAAAGTGACAGTAAAGACATTCATGAAGTTACAAAAAGATTCTATTCGAATAAATGCTGCTCTTTTAAAGGGGTCATATGATATATCATATGATAATTATTTTGTGTATTTGGTGTAACAGAATATGTTGACATGCTCCCCCCGACATGGCTGCTTCAACACTAACTGCGGTTACTGAAACCACGCCTTCTTTCTTTGCGTGAACATTTGGGCTGCATTATGCAAATATTTCCACATAGTGAGGTAGATATGTGGGGGCGTGTTAGAACGAGCCGTTTTAGGGGGGCGTGGCAGAGTCTTAACTTTGATAAAGAATATCTCTTTGGTTTTGAGACTTTAGTCTTTGCAACTTCAGGGATCTTATCTATGCACAATCAGCTTGTAACACTCCAAAGAGAAAGGAAAACTTGAAATCGCATCATATGACCCCTTTAAACTTTCTATTAAACAAAATTTCAGAAAAGTAATGTATCACAGTTTCCACAGAAATAGTGAGCAGCACAACAATTCTCAACATTGACAATAATAAGAAATGTTTCTGTTAATCGGCATATTAAAATGATTTCTGAAGGATCATGTGACACTGAAGACTGGAATAATGACGGCTGAAAATTCAGCATTCCCATCACAGGAATCAATTACATTTTGAAATATTGTAAAAGTTATTTTAAATTGTAATAATATTTCACTGTTTTCCTGTGTTTGATCAAATAAATGTAGCCTTGGTGAGAAAAAAAGACCTGTTTAACAACATTCAAATCTTACCGACCACTTTTGAATGACAGTGTATATTTTTCTTCCGTTTTAAACCAGCATACATGAACTCGTCAGATGATCGGGGCCGGCTCCAGGCATGGGCAGGGGTGGGCTGAGCCCACCCAAATGACTGTCTTGCCCACCCAATCAGAATTAGATAAAGATTGCGTAAATTTTGTATGCAGTAATTAAAACCAATCTGAAGCGGACTGTATTGTAAGAAGTTTAAGATATAGCTGGAGACTGCCCCAACAATAATAAAATAACACCAGAAAATTGAAGCATTTTTCTTTTATTTGCTGAATACAAGGCGCGCTGAATTTATGCAGAGCTTCAGTCTGTTGCAAAAAAGCAGAGGCTGACGACGAGCGAAAACGGGCAGAAATATTTGCGCGCTATCACGGGGAGTTTGTGAGTTATGGGGAGTTTAATAGGCTACATGAATATGTATCATAGCCTACCACAGAAATTACATGTGCAGATTAATGTTTAAAAAAAAAACACTCGTACAATAACATGCATTCATTGCATGGACGGGGCAAGAGCAAAATATAAGCATCTAAAATGCATGTAGGCTATACAGTTCAGTTGAAAGCGTACCCCTTTTGGCTTGCTGTTGCTGTTAATGCTAAATGTAAGAATGAAAACTGAAAGTAAAGAGCTTGTGGGATGAAAGTTGCGTTCGTTACTATAGCAACAGTCGGAGCGAAATGTAGCGTTCCCCTTCTATGACATAAACGACCAACAATAGGCTATCCAGTGATGCAAGCTATTCTACTTTTTTTTTTTTTTTTTTCTGCCATTTACATGATTCATGTAATTCATAACTGATTGTGACAAAGCATTTTTCTGTTTTGCGTTTTCAACAATACAACAGAAATTGAATGGGTGCATATTTTAAAATAAAAATATTATTTGCAGTTCAGATTGATTACTTTACAAAAATTCTTATTCTTGTTCTTTTACGGTTCTTTTTTCTTCTTTTAATTTATTCCCCTAAATCAATTTAAATCCTTTATTTATTTAGTTTCTTTAAATAAATACCATTACCATAGTGGTCTGGTCTTTATATTTTCCTCAAAACAATTGGTCCCTCCAATGTTCTAGACATGATTATGGATTTACTATTCAATAAAGAAAAAAAAGTTAATTTTGCTGTGAAAGTGCATGATATTCTAGGCTGTCCAGGAAAGCTTTTTTCAGTGTACATATACTGTAATATGGTTAATATAGTTAATATAGCAATATCTACAGTATAAATATCTTCTAGACTATGTGATGATATAACGACTAAAAAATGCCCACCCAGGATATCTGCCAGCCCACTCTTCTATAGCCATCAAGAACCGGGCCTGTTGACGATCATTCGGCAGGGATAGATTCTTTGCAGTACAGGCCAGGTTTTCAAATAATGTGTCAAGTCATGCTAAGTTCAAGTTCATGTCGGTCATTATTCAAATAGTTAACAACATCTGTCTACCAAACCAACATGCAGTTCATTTTGAAGCACGTTGTTCAAAACTTTTGAACGTTTGTCTCCTTAATGTGAAAACTGTGTGAAAATGACACAACAAGCAAAAAACAAAACTACAGAGAGAATAAATGAATGTATGCCCGAGACTAATGGATGTCATGAAATTACATGCAAAACAGGTCATTATCATTAGTGCAGGACATCGACAAAACAAGCCAGTTTGTCCATTGACAGATACTAACTTGCAAAATGCATTATGTAACATATATATATATATCAATTCATTATGTGTCATTTACATAGAATTGTTCCAAAATCTGAAAGAAGCTCAGTTGAAAGGAATGGACTGTTTCTGTAAAAACATTCAGTAGTTTTAATAATGATCTTCTTACTGGTCCTTGTGTTTTCTGCTGGGCAGTTTTTGTAATGTTTTTTCAAGGCTGGGTTTCTTAACCTTCTTACAGTAGTATTGGGAGAAAAAAAAGACTACTAGACTGAAATACACGTACTAAATGCCACAGTGTAATGGTTTAATGCGAACATTGGTTTAGAAATGATGGACAGTCTATGAGTATTTCTGAACTACTGTGATTATAAACACTGAGTAGAATGACAAATAGCTTCTTTTCTCAGTGTATGTGTGCAAGATGGTTTTGAAGAGGCAGATGCAAGGACTTTTTCCTTCTGATCATGCTTTGGAACTTTTGTATAAAAGTTTATTGTACTGTCTCATGCTATATCTGCTGTTCTTGTCTGTACAGTGAATGCTGAAGCAGGCCAGATTTTTTTTCTCTTTTGTAATTCTTTCTCAACTGAGTTTTTGCTGCTTGTAAAAGTAGTGACGAATCTGGCAGGTCATGTACACTTACATGAGATCACACAGTCATTTCAGTCACTTAAGAAAAGCAGTTTTATTTTACATGGAAGCTGGTTGCCTCATGAGGTCCGACATGTTGAGATACTAAGGTGTTCACACCATGTCATAATTTTGAGATTCAAAATTCAAAGTCAATGATGTGTGCATTCACGTCCTTATAGAACTCATAATTACAGCTTGTCAGCTCTGAATTTTCTGATAACTCTTGTAACTGATCGCTGCAACATAGCGTCGAAACACTCAAAATGACAGCGGCTTTAGCTGTAAAATGTAGTTAGGCAGTTCATTGTAACATTCTGTCTACTAAATCCTATAAATAACTATTGTTAATATATTAATAATAATATGATAAAAATAAATGAAAGACCTACAGTACATATTGTCAAAGTCGAATAACTATTAATGTCCAGCTAAAAAAAATGGCTAAATGTTTATTAATAATGCATTTGCTTAATAACTGGTTTGTGTTGTATTATGGTTTTGTCTGTTGATTACTCAAATTACATTTTGGCAGTTATAGTGTTGGCATAGACACTCATAATTCCAAATTTGAGGATGTGAACAATTTCAACTAAAAAGAACCAGGTTGTCATTGCAGTAATTATGACACAGTGTAAATGCAGCACTACGCCATTTATCAGAATCACATGACTAGCTGAATACTACTGGCTTATACAGTATCTGCACCATTATTGGAAACTTTCACTTGTGGAATAAATTAATTATAAATTAAAATGTAGATAAAGAAACATTTCAGAATGATAATATTAGAATGACAGCTTGTTGAGGGGAGACACTGAGGTTTTGGTGAACCGCCTGAATATATTCATAATCATAAGTGTGAAATGGGACGCTTAGGATGAATTTAAATGATATTGACGATCCCTCATCACACAGCTCTGAATGTTTCTGTTGTGTTGATTTTGATTTCTCCTATGTCTCGCTGATTTTATAGATGGCGCTTTCATTGCTAGGCAGAAAGCAAAAGCAGATGCAGACTTTTACACTGCACAGAGAGCAGCTGAGGCCAATAAGGTAAACTCCTAAAACTGCACCCCATCATTACTGTGCTCATTGTTTTATGAACGTTTTCAACTTTTCTTCTCTCCTCTCCTCTCAGCTGAAGCTGACCCCTGAATATCTTCAGCTGATGAAATTTAAGGCAATTGCAGCTAATAGTAAGATTTACTTTGGAAGTGAGATCCCTCACATGTTCATGGATTCGGGACCAGGAAGCTCTTCCTCAGCTGCCTCCAAAGCCATAGACGTCCTCTCAGAGGGCATACTGGACTTGGAATGACGAGAGAAGTTGTGTTTTAGCACTGAGGATAAATGAACAGGTAATGAAAGAGACTAATGGCAAGTCATTAGACTGCACTGGTGCAATCAGTGCAGCTGAAACCACTTTAGTAAAGTAGCACGGAGCTGTATCAGTGGGACCGAAACACTTTAACTGTGTCTATACCCTGGTGAGTTGATCACAAACCAGTGGTGGTTAACCAGAGTATTATACTTAAATAGAACAGAGTGTGGGAATGTGAATTTGAATGTGAATGCATGTACGAGATTTGTGCATGTTTTAAATGTTTTAAGATACATCAAGTTTATAAAATTAAAGAGACATTCAATTTTTTGTATTTTTTTACACTGAGCAATTGGATTATGTACTTGATAGACATCTTAGTGTCTTGAAGGCTTTTATACCTCAGGGATTATTTTACTGGGTTTACAGAATTAAACTGAGTATGTACTAGATTAGGATAGTGTTCTAAATTTTGTTGCCATTTGAATTTTTTACTGAATTTTTCCCCCCCCATTGATGAAGCCAAAATATAAATGTTTAATTTATATTAATTTATAGTGTCATGAATGTGGGGGAAAACAAGGACAGTCTGCTGAGTCTGTAAAGATTCAAATCAAATGGTAACAAAATTTAGAACAATATCCTAATCTAGCACTCCAAGTACTGAGAAAGTCTTTCTAGAGGTAACAATTTATAGTGAGAAGATGGTTGTGTAAACCTGCAAAATAGTAATGTCATCTGAAAACAATGTAGCATAAAGCTGTTATTGTTAAATATAAAAGTACAGCATCATAAATTACATATATCAGTTGTGTGCAGAGTTTTATTTTGAATGTAGCAAGAAACATTTCATCCTAAGCGATGTGCACTTTAAAATTATATCCCCCATTAAATCGCCTGGCGTTTTGTGCCTTTTCCAGCACAGCACTCATAAACCCAGAGTAGGACTGTCATCGCATAAACTATCCAGTCATTTTCACATTTCTGTGGATTTGAGTGTTGACTACATCAGAAATGAGTCTTTGTTGCAGTCTCACCACTGACCTTTAGAAAGCAGCATGTCTGTGGGCTGTTTCTCACTCATGGAATGTTGATTCTACTTGACGTTGTTAGCTAGTCATGTTTGGAATATGTTCTGTTAATGATTTCAATTTCCCTTAAACTGAGGTTCTATTACAAAATATACAGGCATTTTTTTCCAGTGTTAAAAATTGTTATATATATTCTTTTTTTTGCAGTTTGCACTGGCAGTGTGAATATCATGTACAGTATCTCATTCTAGTACCTCCAGAATAACTCATGTGGATCAATAGCTCGCTTTCATTTCTTGTCAGGAATGTAGGCTATTTGTTTACATGAATGGAGATCTGAATAAGACATTAACTTGAAGGAACTAAAAAGTGTTTCACTGATATATAGATATAGATGTTCCTAATAATGAACAGCATACCTCATATTTGTGCATTTAAAATGATCTCATTACTGTTAAGGTCTTTGGAAATTTTGGACAGGCTTTAATTTAGTGAGACTGTTTTAAAGGGGCATGCTTATTTGAACACAGTTGTGTTTAGGCCTGAAAACTGACAAGTTTTGAACATTGTAGCAGATTGTGTAATACACTGCATGAAAAGGCACGTTTCCGGACTGTTCACGCCAGCGCATGAACCTGTAAACTGCACGATTCCGGCAGTTTCCGTGTATGTGCTCTGGCGTTTTTTTGTTTCTTGACACGGACAGAAATGGACCACTTTTGTGCGTGGCAGTTTTTCAGCCCACTCAATAACACGAGAAACCCCCAGACACGGACGGAAAATTTACTAATTTACCGGCAAATCCACGTACCTTTTTGTGCATGAGAAGTCTCCGCAAAATCCAGGGTACAAGCAGTTAAATCTCTGTAAACGGCCACTCATGTCTCAGTAAATGTCTATAAATTACCTTACACAATGCTATGGACCTTCTACACAAAAATGCGTATTATGCGCTTATAAAAAATGGCAACAAAGCCACAAACACAGCAAGGCATTAACAAAACTCAATTTTATTTTTCAGCAAATGCAGGACAACATTTAACAGGACTGCAAATATTATTAATTATATTATATATTAAATAAATATTATACATTATACAAATATTATTCATAATATTATTAATTATATTATTCATCAAACATTTAACTAATCATTTACACTGAGAATTTTTTTTTTTAGTATTTTGCAAACAGAGAGACAAGTAAATCATTAAACTGATTTAAAAAATAATATTAAAAAGAAACAAAAAATAATAAAAATGTGTATAATCAAAAACACTGCAGTGGACACTGCAAAGTCAGGACAGTGATTACCGCTCCATCTCAGTCAGAGAGTCACACACATATTCTACAACTCTAATGGCACCATCAGGACCATGCCATATTTTTTTCATTTAATTCTGCCCTTCAGAAGCTACAGAAGATACTGTTATGCTCATAAGTGGGGAAGTCGTGGCCTAATGGTTAGAGAGTTGGACTCATAACCCAAAGGTTGCTAATTTACCGGCAAATCCACGTACCTTTTTGTGCATGAGAAGTCTCCGCAAAATCCAGGGTACAAGCAGTTAAATCTCTGTAAACGGCCACTCATGTCTCAGTAAATGTCTATAAATTACCTTACACAATGCTATGGACCTTCTACACAAAAATGCGTATTATGCGCTTATAAAAAATGGCAACAAAGCCACAAACACAGCAAGGCATTAACAAAACTCAATTTTATTTTTCAGCAAATGCAGGACAACATTTAACAGGACTGCAAATATTATTAATTATATTATATATTAAATAAATATTATACATTATACAAATATTATTCATAATATTATTAATTATATTATTCATCAAACATTTAACTAATCATTTACACTGAGAATTTTTTTTTTTAGTATTTTGCAAACAGAGAGACAAGTAAATCATTAAACTGATTTAAAAAATAATATTAAAAAGAAACAAAAAATAATAAAAATGTGTATAATCAAAAACACTGCAGTGGACACTGCAAAGTCAGGACAGTGATTACCGCTCCATCTCAGTCAGAGAGTCACACACATATTCTACAACTCTAATGGCACCATCAGGACCATGCCATATTTTTTTCATTTAATTCTGCCCTTCAGAAGCTACAGAAGATACTGTTATGCTCATAAGTTTACATACCCCTAGCACAATATGCAATCATTTTAACAAAATAAGAGGGATCATAAACATTGCTTGCTATTTTTATTTAGTCCTGAATAAGCAATTTCACATAACAGATATTTACATATACTGCATTTATAAAAATGAAAACTGAATTTATAAATATGAAACAGAATTTATAAAAAATGAAAATGTGTTCTTTAAAAAAATGATCAAAAGTATACATTCACTTGTTTCTTAATATTGTGTGTCATTACCTGGATGATCCACAACTGTCTTTGTTTTGTGATAGTTTTTCATGAGTCCTTTGTTTGTCCTGGGCTGCAGGTTCTACGATCTACTTACACCGTGTCTACACTGGACGTGACAGTTGTCGTGTCGCGCCACGCTGCAATAGCTCAAATCTACACTGGACACGACCGTTGCAAATCGTTTGTACTTTGTGTCAGTAAGTCATAAATAGAATGAGGCATCAGTTTACTGTCAGGGATTTGTTGTTGTGTCGCGCCGCATCCAGAGTAGACAGCATCACTGATTATAATGGGTTCTACTGTCTTTTGTCGCGTCATGCCACTCGCATCCAGTGTAGACAGTGTTAGGCTTACAATGTTTTGGGAAAGGCAGCCCAGAGCAGTTCAACTTCCTGCTGTTCTTCAGGAAAATCCCCCAAGTCCCGCAAATGCTTTGGTTTCCGAGCATCTTCTGCATATTTGGCCCCTGTCCAACAATGACTTTAGATTTTGAGATCCATCTTTTTACCCTGAGGAAAACTGAAGGACTCGTACACAACTATTATAAAAGGTGAAAACAAGATGCTCCAGAAGAAAACACAATGCATTCAGAGCTGGGGGCGTAAACTTTTGAACAGGATGATTATGATGAGTAAATTTTTCTTGTTTTCTTGTTTAATATTTGTTCATTTAGTACTGCCCTTCAGAAGCTACATAAAATACTTATTTTAAACTTCTTTTCACAGAAGCCAAAATAAGGACAGTTCACCCTTATTATCCAATTCAAATAGTTTACACCCTACGGCTCTTGAGCATCATTAAATGTGTTTACCTTTTGTAATAGTTGTGTATGAGTCCCTCAATTGTCCTCAGTGTGAAAAGATGGATCTGAAATCATACAGTCGCTGCTGGAAAGGGTTCAAATATGCAAAAGAATGCTGGAAAACCTGAGAAATGTGCAGGACCTAGAGGATCATTCTGAAGAACAGCGGGCATTTAATCTGCACAGGACAAACAAAGGACTCATGAAACACTATCACAAACCAAACATGAACCCCTACTGTATCCTTTTTTTAATCAGCTATAATTCTGACTTGCAGCCTAAACGTTAACATTATTTTGTTCAGTAACATTATGTATATTCTGCAGTGTGATGTAAGATTTTGAACACAACCATATGTATGTGTGAAACAGTGAGTACCGCAGGCTAACTTCAGTGAAATATCATTACCCCTATCATCCCATGCCATTTTTTCTTATCGGATAAAAAGTTTATCCTACTCAGTTGTGCGCATACATTTTTTTAATGCGCATTTTTAGAATTTATGCGCATCTTGACGTTTCCATCCAGCGGTTTTTTTTTATGCGATATTCCACAATGCGCATAAAAATAGGTGGTTGGAAAAACAGCTACCGAGTTGGAAAAAGGATGTCAGGTGTAGTTCTCAATGGCACACAAAGCCATTTGACTTTCAACTGTGATCAACTGTGGTCATTTTGATCATTTTGATTA